GACGCCTAGAGTACGGAGACCTGTACGATTTCGTCAACTTAGTGAGTTTGATAGGGGCCGTATAGTGGGACTTCGGGAAGCTGGACCTTCTTTTCGGGCAATTGCAGTTAGAGTGCAAAGAAGTGTAGACACTGTGGTTAGGTGTTGTCAGGCATGGCTTCGAGAAGGCCGTACGCAAAGAGCAAGGGGCACTGGACGCCACCGTAGAACAACAGACCGTGAAGATCGCCGCCTAAGATTATTGGCCTTAAGGGACCGTTTCTCCACTACCAGGTCCATTGCAAATGAATGGTTTGCAGAACACGGAAGACCTATTGGCGTGCGAAGTGTTTACCGACGAATGAGAAGTTTTGGCTTGTTTTCATACCGGCCACACTGGGACCTCCCTTTAACTCGAGAACACCGACGTAATAGCCTTGAGTGGTGCAGACAACGGTCACTCTGGGATCAGGAATGGAACAGTATTGTCTTTAGTGATGAGTCTCGATTTTGTTTAGGCATGCACGATGGTCGTGCCAGGGTTAGAAGGCAACGTGGTGAAAGGAGGAATCCACAGTTTTTTGTTGAAAGACATGTTCATCACACTGTTGGAGTTATAGTTTGGGGTGCTATAGCTTATGGTTCCAAGTCACCTTTAATCTTCATCAGAGGTAACATGAACGCGCAGCGTTATATCCACGAAGTTCTAGAACCCCATCTTTTACCCTATCTTGACACCCTGGCAGATCCAGCTTTCCAACAAGATAATGCCCGACCACATGTTGCAAGAGTCACAATAGACTTCTTTCAACATAATGATGTCACATTGTTACCATGGCCACCAAGACCTCCCGACTTATCCCCAATTGACCACGTGTGGGATATGATGGGTAGGGGATTGCTCAATTTGCAACGTCCTCCTCAGACTCTAGAAGCACTTCGAGAGGAGTTGGTGGTTGCCTGGAATGAGATACCACAGGAGGACATTGACCACCTGATCAGAAGCATGCCTAGGCGCGTTGGAGAATGCGTAGCACATCAGAGTGCATTCACACATTATTAAAGGTCAAAGGGCTTTAAAGCAGTGCAATCATTTTGAAATTTTTATCATTTACTCATTATGCTTCATTAAGTACTTATACAAAATTTTATTAAAATAACACCATTTAAACTGGGTGTTCGGATTTATATGTCACTTAGTATATGATAGAAAAAGGGAAGGAGTTCTATGAAGTCTCAAAAAACTAAAAAATAAAAATTATTTTTTTATGATTGGACATGTGCCGTTTTATACTTCTTACCATGAACGAAGTTTCCAAATAAAGGCCTGTTCTGTCTTGACAGTAATAGGGAAACATGCTCTTAATTAGAAACTTGTTGATACTAAGGAACGTATAAGAGAGAGATATAAAACGACATTCAAATATTTCGGAAAATCGGAAAAAAATATCTCTAAATTCGTAGTTGGGTTTATTAACGGCTAAATAAATGATTGCTTAAAAAATCCTTTGCTCCGTTAACGTATTTCCATCACGAGGTGGGCAGCAAATTAAAAATAAATAATCATATACATATAACAGAGTTTATTTAAACATGCGTGTATACTTGTATTCTGTAGTCAAGCCCCTTTCCCCACTTTGACACAAAGTGCAAACTGACACGGAATTGGTTCAAACCACCTTCAGTGATCGACACAATACCACCACTACCATCTGTTTTCAAATCTTCAACCTGAAAAAATAAAACACTTAAGTACCTTGAGAGCTATTCTGTAGCGAGGTCAGGTCGTTCAACCTTTCATCTCATTTTGACGCAATCATCATCAATCATACCGTTTCCAATAGATTCCTAACAAAATAAAAATATCCAAGGTTCTCAGCTGGACAATAGAATTTGTCAAAACATAACCAATCAGTTACACTTTCTGCTGTTCGGTAGTTTTAAAAATATAATTACCAAAATGCAAGTTATGGCTTTCGTAAAGAAACCAGACTCAGGAAGGGTGATAGTCTTCTCTACAGTGTGAAGGAAATGGGGTTCTTCATGAATCGCCGTCTCCACTTGCAAGTTTCCACTGAAATCAGTAACAGGATTTTATTAGCTTAGGTAAGAGCAGGCGGAATACGTTAGTCAGTGGTTAGAAGCAACTGAGGGTGTCAAAAATCTTTAAAAAATAGATAACGTTGAGCGGTCTGTATCTGAACTGTTTTTTGTTATAAATATATGCATCCTAGAAATTGTCATCTCATTTTAAGACATCCTGTATGTATCATATTGTGTTCCCCTGTACTTGGATCAATCAACTATTTGCCTCTGGTAAACAAAGTATGATAAAAGACAACTATATCACTATAACAATCTTTTATACCTTTTATTGGTGAATCTTTTTGTAGTTTTCTGATAAATGCCGATTTTGTTTTTTTTTTCGCAAATCAGCAAAATAGTGACTAAAACGTAGTTTCTCTTATGGTGTGGAAATGTACCCTAGCTTTTTAAAGCGACACGAAAGCTTCAGTACCAAAATATATAAAGCTTAAAAAGTAAAGCATTGGAATCCTATGTCCTATTTTTTTATAAAATCAAATATAAGTAACAAATACCATGAGAAACGTAACCAACCGAAAAGTACAAACAATTTTGCGCAATGTTTGTTCGGTGGTACCATAAGGACACAATACACTACTTTGATAAATTCTTTAACATTTTTACACCTAGTACCGAAGGGCAACAGATATAACGGGTGATTTTTTAAGAGGTATAGGATTTAATTTTAAAAAAACACAAACATTTGAAAATGCGCAAGGTCCAATTTTGGCACACTCTCTCCAACATATCGGCCGGTATCTCACGAATAAATGCTTCAATATTGGCTTCCAGTGCGTCAATCGTTGCTGGTTTATCTCTGTAGACATTAGCCTTAACATGGCCCCACAAAAAATGGTCCAACGGCGTTAAATCACACGATCTAGGCGGCCAATTAACGGGCCCCAAACATGAGATAAACTGTTCACCGAACTCGCCTCTCAATAGGGCCATTGTTTCGTGTGCGGTGTGGCATGTGGCACCGTCTTGTTGAAACCACATGTCAGCCAAGTCCAGCTCTTCCATTTTGGGCAAAAAAAAGTTTGTTATCATCCCACGGTAGCGCTCGCCATTCACAGTTACGTTCCGGCCATTGTCGTCTTTGAAGAAGTACGGACCGATGATGCCACCGGCCCATAATCCACACCAAACAGTGATTTTTTCGGGATGCATTGGTAGCTCTTGCAATGCTTCAGGCTGGTCTTCACTCCAGATGCGGCAATTTTGCTTGTTAACGTACCCATTCAACCAGAAATGAGCTTCGTCGCTGAACACAATTTTTCGATAAAAATGTGGATCTTCGTCCAACTTTGCCAGCGCCCATTCACCAAATTGAAAACGTTGTGGGAGGTCGTGTGGCTTTAATTCTTGCACCAGCTGTATCTTATAAGGTTTTATACCCAAATCCTGTCGCAAAATTTTCCACGTAGTGGAGTAACAGAGGCCCAATTGCTGCGAACGGCGGCGAATCGACATTTCACGGTCATCACTAACACTGACGGATACAGCCGCAATATTTTCTTCAGTCCTCACCCTACGTCTGCGTGTTGGTGGTTTAATGTCCAATAATGTAAACTGGGTTCGAAATTTAGTCACAAGCTTCCGAATAGCTCCCTCAGTAGGCTGACCAAATTGCCCATAAATGGGAAGCAGTGCTCGATGCACTCTCTTAACCGAGCATGAATTTTGATAGTAAAAATCAACAATTTGCAAGCATTGTTCGTTCGTAAGTCGATTCATGCTTAAATTATAGACCAAACTGAACAAGTTTGACAATTACCCAAGACACGATTCACGAATCATCTGTCAAAAACGGTGTTGCCAAAAAGATACTAGCAAAAAAATCACCAATTATTTTATGATATAAATAAAGAATTCGTGCTACCGTTGTCTTTTAATACCTGTAGAAGGCAAATTTACGGCGCATAATAATATAGTGTAAAATATTTAAGTTAATAAGAAGGTTCAGTGCTCCTTAAAGAATCGGAAACCTTATTTATCTGTGCACCTAGTAGGGCACACATTTTATCCGTTCAAACATTTTAGTTTATTGATGAAGTACTTTTATTCTGGATATTCTTCAAAAAAAAAGTTGATTGCCCAACGTAAAGAGTACGATATTGCTTACGGTGCAGCTGGATCCTTGCATGACACTAAGTTACTTCCCAGATGATCGTTGACAATTACGCCAGCATAGGCTTGTAGAGCAAAGGCGGAGATAACATTTGCAACCAACAGTAATTTCATTTTGGTTCTCGCACAGTCGCACGTTACAATTGAAAAAGTAAGTATATTCGATAGACGTAGGCATTTATAGATCGTCCAAGTAAACATATTTTTACATTGTATTTTCATAGATAACTAACATATCCAATATGCAACTCACAAGGTTCATAATCATGTTTGTCATATAATAAATATTGTACTGAGTGACTGATTAAATTAAAGGAGAGCAAGACTGCACTAGAAGGTACTACAGATCGTTGTTAAGAAAATGATGCTTTGATCTTGGCTCGCGCTTAACAGCCCAGTCACCATGTGACCGCTAGATGGCTGACGATTGTGGCTGTATAGTAGATGTAGTCTACTTGCCATTGAAATAAACTCAACATTACGACTACCTCCGCCTGACCAAAAGACAGCAAGTCATGGACAGCCGTTTCTTACTTTTTGACTACACTTTAGCATGGTCTAGCCTTGGTCACTCGTCTCTGGGACAACGAACTAGCTCAGACGGTGACTGGGCTATCAACTGAGATGCTTACAGTTCCAACCAATAGCAGTTATGCACGGTTCGCATAGATAGCGCTGTCTTATTACGGAAAAGTAAATCTGCGTTCCCCGAAATTCCGTCACCAATTTCAGCGCCGGTGAGCTTTAATAACTATACCTATACGAATGCCATGAGCATACACATTTGGGTATAGGTTATATATAAGTTAGCTTCGCTCCCTCTTGTAGTCCTGAAAAAGCCAATGAAAAGTAATCTAATAGATATCCTTGAAATTTTATCGTTGCCCTTCTTTTTTTTTAACTCCACGAAGCCCATTCCACTCATCTTAAGTCGGGCTTACACGCTACGTCTTATTGGACGTTTTGTCGGGCATACAAAACGTACGTTTTGTCCAGTGTATACACACTACGTATTTTCCCTTCCACTTTCTACTACAGTTCCGATCTAGACTCTTGAGTTGTGTGAAGTTTTTTTAGTGAATTTTTGAGAGAATTGTTTTTATTATGGAGGAAGCACGGCATCTTTCTCTTATTTTTCGACTATAAGGATACAACGACTGAGACGGAAATTTATGAAGAGGGAAAAGACAAGATGGTCAAGGGAGTGGCTTCTGAAAAGAAGCCAGTATTCCCACGTCTCGTTATTGAAACAACTGAGGAGAGTACGTGATGACTGGTGCAATTATTTGCGAGCGGACACCTCAGTTTACTTTTTAATTGCCATCGAGTCTATTTCTTTGTATTTTTCTATAAGATCCTCATACGGGACTTTTTTTTTATTACGGTCACTATAGTCTTTATTTTTCACTTGCCACAAACACGGAAAAATGTTATACATTTCAATGAATTATTGGAGAAATAACTGGGTGCATTGCCGCAAGTCTGACATTATTAGGTTTTTTTGGGAAAAGGGAAGCGAACTGAAGTGGAGTTACTCGTGAACTGAGTCAAGATCGGACTTCTTGTCTGAGCATGAGTCTACATGTTTAGTTTTGTTCTCGCAAAATGATGCTTCTCCCATCAGTTTTTCAGTCTGACCTTGGATTCCATTTCGATTCGACAAGACGTACGTTTTGCTGTTTACACGCGACCTTTCTTGGATAGGATTTGTCCTGTCTCACAAAACGTACAATAAGACGTACCATGTAAAGCCACCTCTATTTATATTAACAACATGAAAATCTAGAATTATCTTTTTGGGGATGACAAACCTGCTGCCTAGTACGGTTTGTATATTTGCATGTATGCTGAACATGACTGAACCAAACAAAAGGTGAACCCATTTTACTTATTGACATGGGTTACTTTTGATCTTGGCGATTAACCGGCGGCCGGGATAGTGTGGTGGAATTAGGTTTTTTGAAGACATAGTTCTCGTTCAGTACTTGAACTACAACCGCGCAGACTGAACGTGCCCCCACGCGTTGACAAATATGATTCATAATAAAACATCAAACTGATACCACAAATGCAAGTTCGTCAACCCCCTACTGCTTTCAACCGCAAACATAGATTTTTAACCTTTTCTGAAAATGATCAGGAGACAGTTGCGTTTTTGTCTGAAGCTTCGCAGCGACTGATTCGATTTGGAAAGCCATTTTCATTCTCGCGCAGTCAAAATCTCCTCTAAATCTAAATTCCTTGTTATAGAGATGTCAAGGATTAACGAATAGACATAGAGACCGACCGACCGACATGGTTTTTCGTGATGCTCATGCCATGTGAGATTCAAAAAACAGAATGTCTCATTTTCAAGTTTTCTGCGATTACAATGTTTTCTCGCCAGTTGACAAGAATGTGTCTATTCGATGTGTCACCTGTCCAAAAAGATTTTTGAAAAAGAACATGAGTATCTGAAACATGAGAACAAGAGGCTTGAGTGATTCTTAGGTCCGCACTAGCTTTGTTGATTTCGTAACTTCGTCGTTTTTATGTAAAGCCTGCTCTTGTAGATGGTTCTCGACATCCTAGGACTACTTCTAAATAACTGGCCTAGCTTCTTCTAGTTGCTGCCGCTATTGACGAGGTAAGTTTTCGCCAGGTCAAGTCCTTGGCGATTTGGACTCCGACCAGCCGAAATGAACGGTTCTTTGGCAAAATTCGGCCATCCATCGAAACCGTATGAGCGCTGCGACGCTTTTTGTTCGTCAAGGTACAGTACTTTGTTTGTTGTTGTCATCAGAATTGGATTGACCGTATAGGAAATGACGTCGTTGATATGTTAGGGGTTCAGTGTCAGTGTCAGAGCCAAGACCGATTGCTGGGAAACACCCGCGTTGACGTTAAAGGATGAAGAGGAGAACCCTTCACTTCTAACGGATACCTTGCAGCCAGAGAGATAGTCAGCATAAAATCTGACAGACATGAGTGACATGGTTTTTCGTTACAATGCTTCCTCATCAGTTGACAAGAATGTGCCTATTCGATGTGTCACCTCTCCAAAACGATTTTTGAAAATGAACAGAAGTCTCTGAAACATGAGAAAAATATTTTTGAGCGATTTTTAGGTCCGCGCTAGCTTTATTGATTTCGTATCTTCGTCGTTTTTGATACCTTTAAACCTTTAAACCGAAGCAGACGCGCAGGGAGAAGCCTCAGTGCCGGAGTAGCGCGGCTGCTATGAGAATCGCAAAGAAACTTTGTTAGTCCGATTGTTGAATTGCCCAAAGTTGATATAACTGGCAAAAGCCTGCTCTTGTAGACTATTCTCGATATCCTAGGGCCAAAGGACTACTTCTAAATAAATGGCATAGCTTTTTCTAGTTGCTGTCGCTATTGACAGATCAAGTCCTTGGCGATCTGGACTCCGACCAGCCGAAATGAACGGTTCTTTGACAAAACTCGGTCATTCATCGAAACCGTATGAGCGCTGGGACGCTTTTTGTTCGTCAAGGTACAGTACTGTGTTTTGGAAGCATTAAACTGTGTAAAGTTGTTGCGTCCTCAACCAGGGATAACCTCGAGGTCTTGCCTCAGAGAGAAAGTCGCTGCAGGTCTTCTTTTACCAGCTCACCAGCAGAGATCGGCTTGATGGTCTGAATTCCTGCATGTTGATTGCTGTCACCAGCATTGGATTGACCGTATAGGAAAGGACGTCGTTGGTATGTTAGGGGTTCAGTGTCAGTGTCAGAGCCAAGACCGATTGCTGGGAAACACCCGCGTTGACGTTAAAGGATGAAGAGGAGAACCCTTCACTTCAAACGGATACCTTGCAGCCAGAGAGATAGTCAGCATAAAATCGTATCATGCCACAGCTGACCGAACGCTTTCGTGATATGAAGATCAACGGCATGAGCCTCATCATAAGACTGGATGAGATGACTTACCAAGTGCATAACGTAAGCCAGGAGGTCCCCTGTGGATCGCTGGTGCCGGCAACCGTACTGCCAGTCGCTAATCTAGCCGTTCGAGATACTCGAGAAGCTCGCGATTTATGCACTTCTCCATCATCTTACCTATAACGGAAAGCAGAACTATATGCCAATAGTTGTAAGGGTCGGTCTTAGATTCCTTTTGGGATAGGTTAGGCATGAGCAAATTGACAGTTTTCTGGGAACGTGCCGGATTCGTAAGATATCAGGAAGAGACGCAAAAGAACTGGAGCAAGCTCCACTGCACGCAGCTCCAATACAGTCCGGACCAGAAGCTTTGTTGATGTCTGATGTCTTATGCCTGAATGTGACTTCCCCATAGTGTAGGCAACCCTTTGAATCGACGGCACTCGGGCCTTGGGGAGACGTCCGTGGTGGAGTTGGCAGCAAAGATCTTGCCAAGCACTACGTTCAATTTGGAGGCGCCTGATATAAGTTTTGATTGAAACTACCACACAATTTTTAAAACGTGCAATAATTACAAAAATTTTAAAGCATGTTTCTTTATTAAGAAAAGAACAACCTTTTCGTTCATAGAGAAATGAGCCTATTTGGGTGCGAAAACCTGAATCTTATATTTTAATCCTTTGGAAAACTTGGACACAACAGTAACGTGTACATATTGATACTTCGACCCTCCTCCTGTTATAGAGATTCTTCCTCCGGAACCATCCTCGGACAAATCAGTTATCTGAAATTTTCATATTGTTAGATCTGTACCTCAGGTCTAAATTATCTTATTTTCAGTTTAACATGTTAAGCATCATTGTGTAAGCACACACTCTTATTTGTGATTTTCAGATTTGACATAACTTTGAAAGCAAAGAATTTAGCTGCTTTTTTAAATCATTAAAGTCCTCAGGCTGCTCAAAGAAAAATAAGATTATGTCACTCAGTCATACTTTGGCGCGCATAATATTTTCAGTGTAGTAGGTTATGTACATGTTATAACCTGCCTTGCATAGTTATTTATACAGGGTGTTTCAGTTTATTGTTGCATAACTTTAAGATTCGATAGAACTTTTAAAATTAATGCATAAAGTCTATATAAACATGGGTCGAAAAATGCGTGGCTTCCGAAATACAGGGTGTTTAAATTTACTTTCTAATATAGTTTTTTTTAAATCTTTCGAACCATATTTAATGTGTAACAGTGAAAATTGGTATACAAGGGTTTTTTGGTACGACAAAACGAACCTTGGGCATAGTTTTACTGTAGCCGCTATAGGGCGCTCTCTACTGTACCTGTAATGTATTAAAATGACCGAAAAAAATTTCAAAGTGCAATTTTTTGCTTTTTGAATAAAAAAACTGATTCTTCGCACTTTTGTGCATAAAAAAGCTCTCTTGTGAGTTTTCGTTATAGTTAACCGTTTTTGAGATATTTCGATTTCTAAGGTTCGATGCACTTTTAATTATTTCTGGGAAAATAATATTTTTTTTACATTTTCGATTTGGGCATTACAAGTAATTAAGATGATCGTTTAGATTGTGTTTTTAAACACAGCAATAATTCCTAACTCCAAATAAACACAAAAAAAACACAATATTAATTTGTTTAATTTTCCAATATTATTTTTAACAAATTAAATTAATTATTTACAACTAAAATGCTATTGGATAGTTAGGACAAACATACAAAATCTAAAGTAGTTGCTCGAAATGTAAACCCAATTGTTCAATACACAATTCACATCTACGAATGACCAAACGTGGTATAGCATTATTCAAATAAGGCCTTATTTCATCACATGCATTCCTGATTCTGTCTATTAGCATATCTCTTGTGGTTACGGGAGTCTGGTACACTTTTTCTTTTAGAAATCCATACACAAAGAAATCTAATGGAATTAGGTCAGGGTATCGTGGAGGCCAGGCGACTGGTCCTCCACGGCCAATCCATCCTTCTGGATAATTTTCGTCCAGCCAGTTTCTAACTATTCTTGAATAATGAGCTGGACAACCATCAAGCTGGAACCAGGCCAATCTTCTTAAATCTAACATAACATCATCCCACATATTTGCATGTTCAGCCTTTAAAAATGCCAAGAAGGTCGCAGCATTTAACCTTGCAGGCAAAATGTAGGGTCCAAATACTGTAGATAACAATCCACACGTTCACACTAAATTCATGCTGAAAATTTCTTTCCCGAACTGCATGCGGATTTTCATGCGACCAAATATGTTGATTATGAAAATTTACCACTGCACGTCTAGTGAAGCATGACTCATCGGTCCATAAAACGTTACTTAAAAACTCCCTATTATTACCAGTTCTACCAAGAATGCACTGACAAAATGTGATTCTTCATTCTCCATCGCCTGGCTGTAGTCCTTGCACAGGTTGCAAATGGTAAGGACGTCTATGGTCATTTCTAAGAACTCGGTGAACATGGCTTGCTGAAATTCCCAAGGCACCAGAAACTGTCCTAACACTTGTGGTCAGATCTCTATCAAACTCACGCAGAATCATACGGGTAAATCTGCGCTGACGAACATTTATGTTTTGATCCCTTTGCAGATTTATAAAACCATTTTCAATTATTTGGCGATGCACTCTTACAAATACTGAGCGAGTTGGATGTCGTCTGTTTGGAAATCTTAGTGCGTATTCTCTGGCTGCTTTTGCTACGTTTCCATTTACAAAGCCATACACAAAATGAATATCCGCTAACTCTTGATTGGAGAATAAAAATGGCATTTTTATAAAACTTACAAAAAAACAGGTAAAAGAAACTAAATTTCGTGCATTCACAATTGCAAAAAAACGTTTCAGGTTTCAACAGACAACAAAACTAACTGTCAACTAATTGACGTTTAACCTTATTCTGCTTTTAATTTCAAAAATATTTGCAGTGCGAAGAATCAGTTTTTTTATTCAAAAAGCAAAAAATTGCACTTTGAAAAATTTTTCGGTCATTTTAATACATTACCGGTACAGTAGAGAACGCCCTATAGCGGCTACAGTAAAACTATGCTCAAGGTTCGTTTTGTCGTACCAAAAAACGCTTGTATACCAATTTTCACTGTACACATCAAATATTGTTCGAAATATTTAAAAAAAAACTATATTAGAAAGTAAATTTAAACACCCTGTATTTCGGAAGACACGCATTTTTCGACCCATGTTTATATAGACTTTATGCATTAATTTCAAAAGTTCTATCGAATCTTAAACTTATGCAACAATAAACTGAAACACCCTGTATACGAGTATACATAAAATACAATATAGGTATGAATACAGAAACAATAATCATATTGAGAACTGTGTGTGATATATAACAATAGCATAGTGTCTTACCCATCTAAAAGAATGGTAGATCTAGATAAGAGCCTATCGGAGTACCTCAACGTCGTCTTATAATATGAGGTAGGTGTTATATACAGGATGTTCATTTCAAAACCCACCACGGATTTATGGAAAGCCCACTAATTAAAAGGAAAAACGCCGAAACACGTCGAAAAATTTCTGACGTTTGATTTTTTCAAATAGGTCGATTTGTTTTTAGGAACATTAGAAAAATCTTTATTTATCTTGATTGGTACAGATAGAAACAAAAAACACTCGAAAATATCACTTTTTGTTTCAATGAGTGTTCAAATGTTTCCCGTTATTGGCCAAACTATGATATAGGCGATGTTCAAATTCCTGACGAACATTGTCAAAAACATGTTGTGGAATATCATGGCAGCTTTCTATGATGCGTTGCCGAAGTTCATCCAAACTTTCAGGTTGGGGAGTAAGCACAATAGATTTCAAATAGCCCCATGGAAAAAAACCTAATGGCGTCAAGTCAGGAGATCTAGCAGGCCATTCTATAGGCCCTCTTCGTCGTATCCATTTATTTGAAACTCGTCGTGTAGCAATTGCCGAACCGGAAGAACGATAAGCAGATTGATGGTATTTCCCAACATATAGAAATAAATGTCTCCATTCAAAGCATGTGGAAAAATATTCGGGTTGTTATTTGGCTGCTGCCACGTCTAATCTTCCGAATTGCTGTATATGTTGGTAGTTTCCCTTTTAAATTATAAACGAATTGTAGATTTGGCAAACCTTAACGGGCAACATTTTGAGCACCTATTGGAATAAAAAGTGTTATGTTCGTGTTTCTTTGTTTCCTATCGGAATAATTTAGGATAATTAAAGATATTTTCAATTTTCTCGAATACGAATCGTCTGCTTTTAAAAATGAAACGAAAAAATAAAGGAGCTGGAAAGACCTTCCAAACAAGCTATCACTCTATACCCCTTGTCTTGAATCCTTAAGGGAGCCGAGGGTAGAAGGGGGTGATGTAGTTTTTGGTTAAAAAGTTGTCCCCCTCGACATTCTTCTGACGTGTCTCGGCGTTTTTTTAATCGGTGGTTTTTTATAAACTTATGGAGGGACGTTTTCACACAGATTTTACTGCAGTATATTCAAGGAAAACAAAAGGTTTTATATAAAAACCCATTCTACAGCTCAGGGTTCACGACTAATACTTATTGCGGTTGATAGTAACATTGAGATCGCAACAAGATACTGTTGTCGCTAATACTAAATATGGTGTACTGTAAACTGAGTGACTTGAATAGAGTTCAGCCTAGACATTATTTTGAGTTCTTAAAGTATAATATGTGTGGTTATTATTCTTCTATCCTCGACGAATCTGTATGATTACAAAGCTTCAAGCGCGGCTGCTTTAAAAAGGAACCGCCACATCGTTTACGAAACAATTTGGATACGTACCAAAATACAACTGATAGGCTTTGCGAATAGTCCTGTTTCAGGAAGTGCAATTTCTTTAGTCAGTGTTCCAAGAAACTTTCCTGCTTCATCTACTAGTCTTTCAGCTACCAGGTTTGCACTGAAAATATATTTTTCGTGTGTATAAAGGTAAAAACACGTAATTGAACATGTAGTAAAATTTCTTTTGAAATAAAAACAAAAAGGTAATAGTTATTTACAGGACCAGGATTCACTAGCATGATCATGTAATTAGCACTGCTCTATAGTCAAACACTCCGAGGGCGTTGAGAAACAGCTGGTAAATGTACAAGTAGGGCGGAGCAAAATATTTTTTTTTTGTTGTTGTTGGAGAGAACAGTACTCCCTGAACTCTACCACATTTATTCAGCAGAACCAAAATTTACCAATATAAAAATAATATATATATATATCTATAAATTAACGAAACAAAAACAAGGTTTCTCTATAATATATGAGCGCCTAAGTTTAAAAACTTGTATGCGCAAAAACAGACCAAAACAGTAATTAATTGATAAATATCGTGCAATATATATTTTAGTATAAAATCATTCAACTATACAAACAAAACATGATACACGATATACACAAAATGAAAGAAAATTTCATATTTTGTAAGTAATAGATTTAACTTAAGATCACAGAAAAAAAGTGTCACAATAATATCAAAAAGAAAGAGAAGGAACAAATAGGCAGATCAATCTACCTCAAAGCAACTTAAAATAGACGCATATATTGTTCACGATTTTCCCAACAGAACATATTAAACGAAATATTGAATTTTTTATTATTTCCAATATTCCTGATATTAGTAGGAATCAAATTGTAAAATTTAGGTGCAAGATATGTCACAAACGCAAATTTAAATCTCGCCTGGACTGCGGGACGTTCAGGTTATGAGTGGTGTTTGCTCGGGTCATATAATTGTGGGACACATAATTTGTATTTAATTTCTTACTTGCATGTACAAAACTACATACTGCAAGGATATACAGGGTGACTTTGAAGTTGAGTCATTAATTTTCAGATAATGATTGTAGAAGGAAGATAAACCAAAATATGTGTGTAAAAATAAAAAAAATTAAAAAAAAATGTTACCTTGTTTTATAAAGTATCCTCCCGACAAGTATTTCAGTGCGGACCTGTGCGCCCAAAAGCATGTCACAAAAACTGTTCGAAATGATTTCCGTTTTGCTCGACGCACAGCTGGGCGCGTCTTAGCCATGTCTCTTTACAAGCACGCAATAAAATCACTGGTTGATTTCTGATCACTGTACTCATTTCCTCAATTCGAGCACGTAATTCTTCGCGTGTATTAACCGGTGTTTTATACACTAGAGTTTTTAGCCAACCCCACAAACAAAAGTCTAAAGGATTTAAGTCCGGAGACCTTGGCGGCCAAGGTACAAAACCGCCACGGCCGATCCAACGATTATTAAATTGTCTATTTAAAAATTCACGCACATTTCTTGCTTAATGGGGTGGTGCCCCATCTTGTAAAAACCACATGTTTTGTCTAATATTTAAAGGCACATCTTCCAGTAAACCAGGCAAATTGTGTTGCAAGAAATCAAAATAATTCTCACCAGTTAAGCGATTTGGTAATTCAAAAGGCCCCACTAAAATTCCATTAACAATTCCCGCCCACAGGTTGATTGGTTCAAACCGCTGTTGAAAATTGGTTTCCCTTATTTCATGGGGATTTTCAATAGCCCAAACGTGAGAATTACGTGAATTAATAATTCCGTTTCTAGTGAAGAGGGCTTCATCACTCACTAAAATTTGATTTAAAAAATTGTCATCATTTGATGTTTATTTAAAAGCCAATTGCAAAAGTCAACCCTTTGTTCATGATCTTCCGGTTGTAAGGCCTGCACTTTTTGTATGTGAACGGATAGAACTGATTTTCACGTAGAGTTTTCCAAGTTTTATACTGACTAATCGCCAATTGAGTTGAAATTTGTCGGGTGCTTACTGTTGGATCATCACTTACTAATTCTAAAATTTGTTCTTCTAGTTCTATTTGATCGTGTGGTCTTGGAGCACCGGCATGATCTCCTCTGTGAGGTCTTAAGTCACCTGATTCACGAGCTCTTTGCACTACATAACAAAGGCACGAGGGGTGGTTGCACTCGATTGGGAAACCGATCCGCATAGATCCGTGATGCCGCGGCAGCATTTTGTAAAGACTCCCCGTAAATAAGAACCATGTCCACAAGTTCAGCATTTTCGTAACATGTGCCATTTTTGATTTGAGCCTCGCAACAGACACGATTATTCACTTACGCGTTACCGACTACCGACTGATACTGACTGTATACAACTGAAGAAAATGATTGTAAAAAGATCGTTCCAAAATCTTTCGCTTTTTTGTTTCCGATGCGATGAACGGATAAGGCGGATTATATCTGTTGTTGCCAAACACGAGAACATAATATCATTATTGAGACAGGGCGGTACTCAAACTTCCAAAGGGCTATAACTTTGTTACTTTAATTTTACCAGAAAAATGGTAAAGGAAAAAAACATTTCTTTTGATCAGATCTACTCACTGTTAAAATAAATGACTCAACTTCGAAGTCACCCTGTATAAGATTTTAATATTATTTATTACTTGTGAATAAAGTTGCATAGTGGGATATAGTCTAGGTTTTTTTAGAATTATCCTTACAATATGGTTCTGCACCACTTTTAGCTGCCCAAGATTTGAACCGTACATCCCACCCCACACAATTATGCCATATACCAATAGTGGCACCACAAGTGCTTTGTAAATCATTAATAGTAGTTTAATGTTCAGTATATTACGAAGAGCGTAGAATTTATGAATGAAAAATCTAATTTTTTTGCTCAAATACAGCACATGTCGGTCCCACTTCAAGTGCTTATCAACAACAACCCCCAAATATTTAATTTCATTTACTTCTTTCAAAGGCTCATCAATATTATCAAGTTTAATTTGATTAAATGCTGGTCTATTAGCCATGGTTATAGAGAAGGCAATGTAATGAGTTTTTTTTATATTCAGAGTTAATTTAAATGTGTCCAGAAGGTTTTTAATTTTTGCAAAATCAGTCTTCAATTTTTCACCCGTTGATTCCCATGTCTCTCCATGAAACACCACCACGGTGTCATCAGCATAGGCAATTACATCGCCATCAACTGCAAGACTGCAGAGGTAATTTACATATATATTAAAAAGAATTGGCCCAAGTACTGTACCCTGTGGAACTCCATGCTGAACCGTCTTAGGTTCACTTAGAACGTCCGCAATCCTGACACACTGAATCCTATGCATTAAATAATCTCTAAATACACTTAACACAGCACCCCTAACTCCATGTCCCTCCAGTGCTTGGAGGAGCATAGGATGAGATACCGTGTCAAATGCCTTTGCTAAATTCAAAAACAAAGCGATGCACTTATCCCAGTTATTAAATGATACATTATTTTAGAGGCTAATTCATAAACCGCATGTGATGTGCTTAAACCTTGTCTAAAACCAAACTGATTCTCAGATAACAACTTATTTGAGTCCAAGAATGCAACCAATCTAACCTTAAGGCATTTTTTCAAATATCTTTGCTAAATTGAGATTATCTTATTGGTCTATAATTACTTATATATTCTTTATCTCCTGCTTTGTGAATAGGTGATACAACCGATATTTTAAATTGTTTAGGTACTTTGCCCGTTTTGAAATCAGATTGATTATATGAACTAAGGGATCAAGAGATATACATGTAGTTGTTTGATTATTTTAGTCGTTAATTTATCTAATCCTGGAGAGCAACTATTTTTTAGACTCATTATATGTTCAATAATTTTCATTCCTGTTGGTCGGTTTTAAATACATTGAATAGGAAGGGCTATTTATAAATTGAAAAGGTGTGGGAGGGTTCCCAATTTTATCTGACATTTCTCTGCCAATATTTATAAAAAGTTATTTGCAAAATCAGCAATTTGCTTTTTATCAATAATCACGTCATTGTTTTCATCCTTTAGGTAAGTTATAGGACATTTTGTTGGCTTTCATTTGTTACCTCTTTAACTAATTTATAAACTTTTTTGATATCATGCGAGCTTTGATTAAATTTACTTTTATGTACTCATTTTTTGTAAATCTTATTATTTTATTAAGACGGTTTCTATATTCTTTGTATTCCGATATCTCTGCTGGAGACGGGTTTAGCTTAAGGGCTCTTTTCAGCTTATATCGGTTTTTCATAGATTTAATTATTGCATTTGTAATCCACGGTTTAAGCTTTTTATAATTATTCAGGGTGTTTTTAACAAATTCTGACTTTTCTATAATATTACTTAATTTTTTAAAAAGGTAATTGGTTGCTTCCTCTGCTTGATCAAAAACCAAACTGTAGTTCCACTCTACCTCAGATGCTAAGTGCTTCAATTTATTCATATCAATACATTTAAAGACATTTCGGCAGTTAGATTCTGTAGAGTTTACAGCGAAGTCATCTGAAACATGAAGCATGAGGGGTAGATGGTCAGTTATGTCATGTTCTATAATATAGCTATCTATTTTTCTGGAGGCTGCTTTGATTTTGTCGCGCACGAAAAGATGGTCGAGACAGGTTTCACTCACCTCCCTCGTAACCCCCTGACACAATGGAACAAACCCATGCGAGAACATTATGGAAAGATACCTGTTTACATCAACATTATCCTTACTTAGAAGATTAATATTAATATCACCCAAAAAATATCAATGTTACTATTACTACTAACATTAGTTTCAAAAAAATATTTAAGTCATTCAAAAATTCATGTAAACTCGAAGATGGAGATCTATATAAAGCAAATAGTATAGGTAATAACATTTTTTACAGACAATGCAATTTTAGTTATGGTAACTTCTGAATTCCGTAGTTTATAGTTGACAAAAATTGGATTCAAATTTAGTTTTGTGTAGATAATAACCCCATCGAAAGCATTATAGTTACCACTGTTGTAATATGATACATAACCTGGTATGTCAAACTTTCGAAAAGATTCTAACTTATGACATTCAGTCAAAATCACAATATCACAGTAATCATTAATATTGTAAGTTTCCAAGAATACCAACAAATTATTAAAGTTTGTGATTAAACCTCTAATGTTTATATGTAAAATGTTAATCAGTTTTCCCACTATATTTATCTTATTATCAAAACACCCGGACTCACTCTTAAGCTAGTATTTACAGACTCTGGTAAGTCCTCAAGAAGCTCAATTGTAGGATCAGCCATAGTTGATTCTCGATCTTGCACTGTCCAGACGATATTTGTATGTAGAGCATTCCTCATCATTTGCCTTGTGGTAGATGTCATAGCCTGTTGAGTATTTTTTATTTGCACTTTCACAATTTTTGCACTTTGGTTTTTGATTCCGGCTTACACACTCTTTCGTATCATGTTCTCCAGCACAATTGCAACAGACTGGTTTGTTGGGACAGTCATTAAATTTGTGATTAAACTGCTGACACTTAAAGCACTTAAGTATACTTATATTTTCATATACTGGAAATCTCTCCCATCCCATGTAAATTTTCTTTCTTTCCATAAGTAAGTGAAACAACTTAGGGGAACACTCTGCATATACAGTCTTATATTTTTTTGTTTTAAAAGATTTTATATATGTGACTTTAAAGTGTTCTTCACCTATAAATGGATTTTGCTTCTTTATCATGGATTCTACAGTGTTTTCACTACAATCCTGTACAAATCCAGGGATTCTTATCTGAGGATTCCTTAATGTAGTTTGAATAATTTCGTAATTTTTTCCTAAAACTTTTGTAGCAGTATCTCTCATCTTCTCCATGTCAGATTCCGATGGAAATTTTAGAAGGATTTTTCCATTTGATAGCTCCTTTTTAGTATTAATTCTAACTCCAATGTCCACTGGTTTGATTTTTTCAATATCTTGCTTGGATTTTTGCAAATCTTGCTTGTTTTTTGGCTTAATTATCAAGTTGGGCAGATTTACAGGTTTTGCCACGGAAAACTGCTTGTTACAGATTGCAACTTGTGAATATGTAGGCTTTGAAAAGGACTTCTCCATACTTTCGGATATGCTATTAACTTTTCCTTCAATATTTGCAAATTTGTCACAAAGAGTCTTCATCTTATCAGCACAGGTCTCCAGTTCCATTAATTGCTTAAGCTGTTTCTTACAAGAAGGGCACATCCAAATAAGGATCTTCAGAATTTCTCCATACATTTTTTTATATAGCTGACTAGTAATACCCAGACAAGTTATGTGATACCAAGATTGGCATTTTCCTTCACATAAAAGACCATGTTCATTGTCTTTTACTTCGTGTTTGCATATTTTACACAAAGAGTCTCCGCCATCATCCTCAGTTCCTCCCATCTTTGGGCCAACGTATTTGCCCACATGAAACACGACATAAAATTCTGTTACCTCAGAATATTACTTCAACGTCGCAACACCGCACACACAGAAGGTTCTGTCTTCACTGACGAGGTGACAAAAAAATTCCTGAGTTGTACTATTGTTTTGGGAACCAAAATTCCGATTTTCGGTGCAAAAGCGACACAGACACCGACGATTTTAACTCACATTCAAAATTAGATATCAACAGAACTGAAACGTTGCGA